TTTTACCGCCGAAACTTTTACGGGGCCGTACGTGCTACCCGCAAGTACGGGAAGGCTGAATTTAAATTTGCTGCTTCACACATTGGCGGGAAACACTGTACTAAAATTTCAGACGCCTAGCTTTCGTGGTTCCCGAGTTGAAAGTGCGGGACAAAATGTGGGACACACAGACACACGCACGCATACACACACGCACACACACGCAGACAAACCTGTGACAATATGCGTTTTGTACTGCTGTTACACAGCACAAAACGCATGAAAACGTCTCAACTGTGGGACGAAAAACATATTCTTCTGATAACTGAAAAGTGTTCACTCCCCTTCCGTATTCGCTCTGTAAAAGTCGGTGTAAAGTTTCGCCCTCTGCGGAATGCGAGGTCTTGCACCAAAACAAAACTTTATTTAAAAACTCTTAAGAAAAACACAAGGAGGGACTGTCACTGCAAGGCAGCGATTTTGCTTTTTTTTTTCTCGGGATTGTAAGATCGGCACAAACCATCTTAGCAGGCTGTCGCTGATCTTGTGCCGATCGACTGATTGTTGGTAGGCGTTCCCGACTCCCTTGAGTCATCCTTACGTTACTAATGCCAACTGAAACGATGTCATTGACCCAAGGAGGAGGGGCTGGCTCTTTTCTTACTAACTGGCGGGACTCTTCCCTGAATGGGAAGAAGAGGCCCCTGTAATCGCTGCTTTGCTTGTCTTCTAGCAAAAAAATCGTGCTGAGCGGTCATCCTAGCTTTAGCTTCTTCTGAAAAATAAACTGTTTCTAAATGACCACCTCTGCTTTCCATGGCCCACTATCGTTGGCGTCACATAGTGCATCGATCGGGAGTCGAGTCCGGGTCACCTGCGTAACAGGCTCGCATTCTACCACTAAAGCATCGATACTGCAACCGGACAATGCTTTTTGACAACCACCAGACTGGTTTGAATTCTGCTCGTTCAACTGATCGACAACAAAAATTTATCAGATGTAGAAAAATTAGCTTATTTATTCAGATGCTTGAAAGATGAAGCACGCAAAACCGTCGAAGGCCGAGCTAAAAACTACCATTTCATCGTGATACTCTTCGTTGCGCGTACGACAATACTGAGGCGCTGGCATGAACCTCCAGCAGCAGCTTTAACAGCTTCGCTGTCCTTCACACTCTGCATCGCCTTCGTTCCCATATCAATGTAGGCAGCTATTCTAACACAAATGATGGATGCTAACATTCCAGTGAAAAACCCGCACAGTATCTTCGAGATTGAGGATCA